AACATCACCTGTCAATCACACGGCGTGGCCCCACCCCCGGCATCGCATGTCACTCACTCGGTGCGGGTGACGTCACTGTGGGAGGGTCCTGGCCACCTGTCCATCATGGGGCGCGTCTAGGAAGCCACGCCCACCCCCTGGGAAAACCTCGAATTTAAAATTTGGAAAAACAGCGCGAATTTTGGGGATGATAAGTTGATGTCGGAAATTGAAATTGAAAATGAATTTCAATTCAGAAAAAATTTTGTTTGTGATTTTTGTCAAATCGTCCGGGATTTTTTTTTTTTCTCGGAATTTTTGGCCCCGGGTGAAATTTTTAATTTTAATTTTTTCCCTGTTTCGTGGTTTCTTTGTACGTGGGTCCCGTGGGTGGCGGACAATTATTTAAATAAAAAAATAATAATAATAATATTACTGGTGTTTATTCGGGGGGCAGGGGGCGGTGAAATTTTGAAATTGTGATAAAATTTTAGGTAAAAACTTCAACATGAAGAAAATGGTTCTGGAGAAAAACCAAAAAAAAATCGCGGAGTGAGGAACTTCTATTCTCAATTTTTTTTTTCAAATTTTAATTTGCAAAAAACTCATCGTGAAAAAATTTATATTTTTTTGAATTCTCCGCTGTGCACACGCGCGCGTGATCACGTGTACGGACGGTGAAACTTAATAAAGGCTGAAAATCTCGCCACGGGCCCGAATTTCGTGTGATTTCCCCACCGGGCCCTGTGAGAAGCTTTAAAAATTGGAGAAACGCCGAAATTAAAATTTAGAAAAAAAATTAAAAATTTTACGAAATTTTCCTGGAAATTGAAATCCACGCTGCCTCTCAGAATTTTTTATTGATTTTAATTCATTGATTTAATTAATTTTTAATTTGTTAATTTTGTGAATTTTCAATAAATAATTTTATAGATTTTAATTCATTTTATTGATTTTATTAGTTTAAATTTTCCACTTTATCAATTTTGATAAATAAATAAAATTAATCTCAAGATGATAAAATCATTATTTTTGAAAAATTGAAATAATCATCAAATTTAAAATTTAAAACTGCAAAAATCCCGACTTCTCCTCGGTGAAAATTTAACACGAAAAAATTCAAAATCAGAAAAAAATTAAAATTTCGTAAAATAAAAAAAAAAAATTCAAAATTCCCAGGCCCCGCCCCCGGCCTCTCCCGTCACTCACACGGCCCTGCCTCGTCCCCGGCCTGGGGTGACGTCACCCTCCCCTCACAGGCCCCGCCCCCGCTGACGTCACCGCCGCCGCCCGGGACCCGAGAGAGAAAAAAAAAAAGTCTTTCCAAATGGCGGATCCGCCGCCATCTTGCGTCCGACGCCGCCGACCTTCGCAGGGCGGAAGTCTGACCGAGGGAACTTCCGGCCCGGCGGCGGCGGCGGCAGGGCCGGGAAAACAATATGGTGGTTCAGGAGCGGCGCCTGAGGGAGACGTCACAGAGAAGCGCCGGGGCGCCCGCGCGGGGGATTCTGGGACGGCGAGTCCGCGGCGGAGTACAGGGCGGAACGACCGGAAGTTCCGCCATCCGGGCCGGAAGCCCTTTGCTGGCGCGTGCGGCGCTCGTACGTCTGACGTCACCGCGCCGGCTCGAAGGTGGTGGTGAGTGACGTGACGAGGCCGCGCTCCTCCCTACAACCTCAGCTTCCGTTTTCCCCGCCGTGACTTATTTTTCGCTAGGAGCGCGAAAAAAGGTCGCGGGTACCGGAAGTGGCTCCAAAGACACCGCGATGTGGGGCGGGACTTCCGGCGGCGCTGCCCGTCAACCGGACACTTCCGGTCCGATTATTTTTTTTCGAGTCTAACGCGCGAAAAAGGTCGCAGGGCCGGAAGTGGCGCCACCTCGCGCAAACCACACGCGTGTTTTCCCATGACGCGCGTGACTTCCCGTCACTCACACACACACCTGACTTCCTGTCCTGCCCCCTGCCCTTCTCGTGACCCCCACACCACGCACATGCGACTCCGCCCCGCACACGCGTGATCAGCAGAGGGGGAGGCGGGACTTCCTGTGCGGGGATTGACTGACAGCGTCGCTTTTTTTGTCTCTGGAATGTGAAATAAAAATTTTCGCTTGGAAATTTCAAAAATTTCAAATTTCAAAGTTGTTTTTTTTTTTTCCTCCGAATTTCTGTTTCGATTTTTCAAAAATTTCAAAATGCGCTCAGTCCTCCTCGCCGCCTTGGGTGCTGACGGCTAAGTCCCCCGCGCCACATGGGAGAAACGGAAACCGAGAGTGGGATCGAAATTTAAAAATTAAATTTTTTACCTTGCCAAAAAAAAATTTGTTTTTAAAATTAATCCAGCTTTAAATAAAATTTTGTTTTTTGGTTTAATTTTTAGGTTTTTTTTTGCCTTTCTCCTCCCTCTGTGGCCCTGAAACCTTACAAGGCAACGTCAAAAAAATTAAAAACAAATTAAAAATTTTTTAAAATCAGAAAAGTAATTTCTTTAAAAAATGAAAGTTAAAAAAATTAGAAAAATTTTAAAATTAGAATTAAAGTCAAACGTCCGAAAAATTTTTTTTTGTGTTTTTTTTCCCCCCTCGGAACTCCCGAAACCTCACAAGGCAACGTAAAAAATTAAAAACAAATTTTAAAAAATTTCCTTTTTAAACCTGGGAAAATAAAAATTAAAGAATTGAAGAATTTTTAGAATTAGAATCAAAATTTGAATTAGAATTAAAATCAAACCGTAGAAGAATTTTTTTCACCCAACACCAGACGCCCGAGTCCAGGTCCTTCGTTTATTCTCGCGCTGCGCGAACGCGGGCGGGGACGGGGGGGGGGGGGGGGGGAATTTTTTCACATTCACAATTTTTTGAAATTCATTTCTTCGTCCTTCACACACGGGGTTTTTTTGGGGGGAATAAATAGCGGGCGGGGGGCGGAGACGCGGGGGACGCGGGGGACGCGGCGCCCAGAGGACGCTGTGGGGGGCGGAATAAATAACGGAAGGGAAATTGAAATTTGACAAAAAAAAAATTTGAAATTTCTTTTTGAAAAAAAAAATAAAACAGAAAATTAAAAGAAAAAATTTGAAATAAAACAAGAAATAAAAATAAGAAATATCGACAGGAAAAACGAAAATAAAGAATTTTAAAAATTTACAAGGAAAACAAAAAAAATTAAAGACCAAATTAAAAAATTGAAATTGAAAATTAAAAAAAAAAAAAACAAAAAAAAACCAAAAAATTAAAACTCAAATTAAAATCGAGTTGAATTTTAAAACCAAAATTTAAATTAAAAAAAAAAATTTCATCTGAACAAAAACGAGAAAACGTGGGGACACGGACGCTGCACGGGGACACGCCATGCACATGCGGGCGACACGGGACTCAAGGGGTGGGGTGGGGCTGGAGACGGATCACAAATCACGCGTGTTCCGTGTCACACGACAACACGCGTGTCATAGACTGCGGGGTCTGCGTGGACCTGGAAACGGGTCTGACGTCATCGGGCGTGCGCACACGTGTGCACACATGACGTAAGCGTGCACGCGTGAGACACGAGGGGAACATGGATGTGAATACCGACGGCGGCTGGGGGCGGCGGGTCCCCGGGGGTCACGCGTGTTGGCGTGTGTTCGCCCCCCGGGCTTCACAAGTGTGTGTCTCGGGGGTCAGGGGTCTCCGGGCGCGGGGCTCGCGGTGCACACGCGTGTCGCGGACTCCACACGCGTGTTTCTTGGAGCTTCGCACGCGTGTGCGTGGCGTGGGTTGGGTCCCCGCGCGTGTCCGTCCTTCATGTCAAACACTGAGTGTGGCGAAGCAGCAGCGGCAGCAGTGGCAGGGGGCGCACGTGTGTGCAAAGTGTAACACGTGCACATACATGTCCTTCACATGTGTGGCCAGAAATGTCCGCGTGGGCGCGGCGTGGGCGACGTGGGGTGCACACGTGACCTCGGGGGGGGTTCACGTGAGGTCACGTGTGCCACCCGAGCACAGTTGTCACACGTTTTGCACACGCATGTTCGTGTGTCGTTGGCGTGTTATCGTGTTTTGGGGTCGCGGTGGCTGGGTGATCGGTGAGGCCAGGGCTCACGCGTGTCCGGGGTCGGGCATCGGGCTCCGGGGGGGGTCACATGCGGTCACACGCGAGACCTCACAACCGGAGATCCCGTGCTTTGCACGCGTGTTTCGTGTGTCGTTAGTGAGTTTTGGGGTCACAGTCGCTGGGGGAAGGTCGGGGCCGGGGTCACGCGTGTCCGGGATCCATCCTCGGCCTCTGGGGGGGTCACGTGCAATCACACGTGCACCCCGACTCCGGTGATCACGGGTATTTCTGCGTCTTTGCGTGTTCTTGGATCATTCTGGGGTTGTAGTCGCTAGGGGAGGGTCGGGGCCAGAGTCACGCGTGTTCAGGGTCCGTCCTTGGCCTCCTGGGGGGTGTCATCTGGTCACACGCGCACCCCGACCTCGGATATCACGCGTTTTCTACGCATATTGTCATGTTCTTGGCATGTTCTTGGCATGTTCTGTACATATTCTGTGGTCCCGGTTGCCAAGGGAGGGTCAGCGCCGGGCTCACGCGTGTCCTTGGCCTACGTGGGGGTCCCATCTGGTCACACGTGCACCCCGACCCCGGATATCACGCGTATCACACGCCTGTTGTCGCGTTCTTAGCATGTTCTTGGCATGTTCTTGGCATGTTCTTGGCATGTTTTCGGGTCTCTCTCGCCGGGGCCGTGCCCACGGACCCCCCCCGGGCCCCCTCAGCGCCCCCCGTCCTCGTCGCCC